GGGGAGGGGGCGGGGCGGGGCTGGAGGTGGAGCCGGGGCGGGGCCTGGGTGGGAGGCGGGGCCTTGTGGGGCGGGGCCTGGGCGGGAGGCGGGGCCCGGGGCGCGCGGGACTCGTCCGCGGGGAGGGACGCAGGGGCGGGGGCGGGGCCCGGGGGCGGGGCCCGAGGGCGGGGCGGGGCCGGGCTCCGGGCCCCGGGCTCCCGCGTATTCCTCACCCCACACGCAGCCCCCGGGGCTGGCGGGGCTGAGCTGGGGCTCTGGACCGGTCCCTGGTCCAGCAAGCACGGCACACTGTCCTCCGGCCAGATGACCCAGAGCCAGGAGGAGTTCGGCATCCACTTGGCGCAGGCCCTCAGCTACCTGCACAGCAGCCACCGCCACATGAAGACCTGGGCTGCACTCTTCATAGGTGAGCGGGCGCGGCCGGGCCCCAGGACCCTCCTGCCTGCCCTGCCTGAGCACCCTGACCCTCACTCGCTCTGCTCCCGCCGCCAGCACCTGCCGGGCTACTGGCAGGAGAGGAGCGGTGGTGGGTGAGGGGCCCCGGAAGGGCAGGAGAGGGTCCGAGCCTCCCCCACCAGCAGCGCCCTCCCGCTGGCCAGCCCCCCCATCTGTCCCGCAGGGTACACCATCTGCCACCACCCCCAGGCCGTGTCGCAGATGGGCAGCAGCGCCAACACAAACCTGCTGTTCTGCAGTAAGCACCCCGTGTCCCCCCGACCCGGACCCCACACCTCCCACCCACCTGCGGAGGTGGGGATGGGCGCCTGTGGGATGGGGCTCACACCCACTCACTCCGCCTGAGGCTCCAATACAGTAAGGCTGTGGGTGGGCGCCCAAAAGTGAGGGGCAAGGAGTAGGTGGGGTCGGGGAGGCAGAGGAGGCGGGATCCCGGTGTCTCTTGCCATGCCCCCACCCCTGCTAGAATGAGGGGCTGCTCTCAGGGGGCATGGGACCCGGGCCTCCCTCTACCTGGGCGGGACTGTGGGCAGACAGGACCCCAGGGCACTTCTGACTTGTCTCTCTTCCCCTGGAGCTTTTGAAGATCTCAAAAAAGACCCAGAGCCCAGCATCCGGGAATTTGCCACCAGGCAGTTGTCTTTCCTTCAGGAGGTGGTGGCCGCCAAACCGAAGTGACCTCCCCCCTCACCCTTCTCCCCCCCCCCCCCGTGCCCACTGAAGTGGTCAGCCCTGCCCCATCCACACAGAGCTTGGTTGCAAAAGATTTTTCCATTTGAAAGAAAGATCTAGATTCAACAAAGAAGCGTCACACCTGTTGGCTCCCTGCCCACCATCTTGTGGCCCCAGAGGACCAAGGCAAGCCCAGGGGACACTGGCAAGACTAGGGGACAGGGACAGGCCTAGAGAAGAGGGGGCAGACCAGGTCTCCCAGAGACAAACTGTGAAGTCCGTGCAGGGTCCTGCGAATGACAGCTTGTGGAAGTCAGGTGGACTCAGGACTCCACCTGACCAGAGCCCAAGCCATGGCCCACCAGGGTCCTGAGGACCGAGAAGGCTCTCCATGGGCAGCCACGGTGGGCTGGGGCCATTTGCCAAGGCGCCCCCACCCCTGAGTCTTCAGTTTGCCTCTGGTTTGGAGCTTTATAGTCACCAAGGAGCTTTTAGTGGGGAAATGGTCCCTTGGCTGGTCCCCCTCAGTCCAGGTGACTCAAGGTCTCCCTCCACCATGACCCCCATCCTCGTGAGTCCAATCAGGGCTGGGCCAGAGCCAGACCTTCCCAGCTGGTCCTGGATGAGCTGTGTGGCCTAAGGCAAGGGTCTCGGCTCTCTGCACCTCAGCTATTCCATCTGTGAAATGGGTAGAAAGACCTTCCTCCCTGGATCCCTCGCAGGACTGAGTCCAAAGGCAGTCCATCCTGGCAAGGACGCCCACCTCACATGCAGCCACCTGGAGACACGCCTGACCTTTAGCCAGGTCCTCCCTTCTTAGCCTTGGTCTTCCCACATGTGAAATGGGCAGATGGGCCTTTCCCAGGTCTGCCAAAGCTCCTCTTAGAGCCTGAGTCCCAGGCTGTCTCTCAGGATCCCCACTCGACCAGCCGTCTCCCCACTTGCCTTGTCTCTCAAGTGCGCACACTGACCACCTCCCACGCTTTTGCTCAGAAAGCTTCTCCCCCCCAGAACACCTTCCCCACTCTCTCCCCTCGGGGCCCCCCCACTGCCCCATCCTTCGAGATCCAGCCTGCATGACGCTGCCAGAAGGAGCTCCCTCCTCAGCCCCTCCTCAGCCCACCCCGAGCCTACCCCGCCCCTTTCTTGCACCAGACTCCCGGGCTGTCTCACCCCGCCCCTGCCCCCGGAGACTGTAAGCCCCTTGGGGGCAGGGATGCCCTGTGGCTGCACAAGGCTGGCACAGAGGAGGCCCCGAAACTTGGATGGTGGGTTGGAAAACTACAGCGACCTTCCTGGAGCACGCATTTACTAGCCTTCTCGGATGTGTTTCATTTGGTAGAGCTGGGGGCCCCTTCTCCACCCAGGAGCCCAGAGAGGGTTGGGGTCTGCGGCCCCAGCCTACCCATCTGTCCATCTCTGAATAAAGCCCCTGAGGAGTGACTTTGAGGTGGCTCTGCCCTTTCCCAACTGCCATCCTGGGCACGGATCTCCCTGGGTGCTCCAACTCCCTGGCTGGGCGTCAGGGATGTGCTCCTTAGGGACCGAGGAGCGGGTTCACAGGGTACCCTTGGTCCAGCCTGGGGGCTGTGGTCTCCGGGCACAGGTACAATCTCCCCTAAGGTGGGGGGGCTTCCCTGGGCTAACACATCAGCTTCCCCCTCTGGCCCTGCTGGGCGGCAGGCAGGAAAGCCTCCTGTGCACCCTCCTCTGGGAAGTCGGCTTCAGGGAAAGCGAGCTTGGAGCTGGCGGGTCTGGACCCAGTGGGTTCCTGGAGCCGACAGCGATGTGACAGACAAGCCTTGGGTCTGGGGCCAGGGAGTGTCCCAACTCCTACCTGGCAGGGTGGCTGGGCTCTGCAGAGCCCTATTAGCGGCACCAGCGGTAATAGTTCACGGCCAGGCTGGTGGGGGGGCTGAGGGACGGGGCCTGTGTCCCTGCTGGCCACCTGCCAGTTCCTGAGGAAGGAGCAGCCCCAAACCCCCCCCACCCGGAGCCTGCTGTTCACGTACTAGTGGAATGGGCCCAGGCGGAGGGGCACCTGCGTCCAAGGACACAAATATGTGCCAAGGCCCTAATGTTGCCCTTCCTGGGTGCACCTCCTCCCTGGGAAAAAGATGAGGGGTGACACCCAGACAGCTAGGTAGGCCCTTCCCCAGGGGCCCGTCCCAGAGTGGGATGGAGGGAGTCTCAGGACAGGCAGACGCCAGGCCCGGGGCTGTGACCCCTGAGACGGGCACTGGGTGCCGGCAACTGGGAGAAGGCCTCTGGAAGGTGTCCACAGGTGGCTCACGGGCGCCTGTGGGGAGGGGCTCTGGCACAGACCACCCCCCAACTGCTCCCCACCAGCCAGCCAGGCCAGCCCCGGGCCCCTCCGCTGGCCACGCCCCTTTGCTCAGCTAGGCAGCCGCCGGCCCCACCTCCCCCTCTTGCACACTCAGACTCACTCACCCGGGTCCCGTGGCCTCCTCTCCCCACCCTGCGCTGATGGCATGGTGCATCCCTGCACCTAAGCCAAGTGGCCACCACTGCCTGCGCCCTTCTCCGGGCCTCTGATGCTGGCATGAGAGCACCTGGTGGAGGCAGGAGCGGCCGCCCCACTGGGCACGAGGCCCTGAGGAATTACCGCTTGAGCCCCCCCCGTCCTGCAGAGGGACGGCACCGGTGACCCGGCCTTCCCTTCTCATGCCCCAGCCGCCCCCAACTGGGCAGGGCTGCACACAGGCCAAGTCACAGAGGTGCTCACTATGGACCAGGGATGTCCCCTGCCCCTAATCCAGGGAGCGCAGGGACCCAGTGCGGACACCAGGGGGAGCCCCAGCGCGCCCCGCAGGAAGGCTCAGGATCAGGTGGGGAACAGCCTCCCCGGGCTCCACCAGGTCTCCCAAGGCCCCACCCCCGGTCCACTCTGCCCGGCCCACACCCCACTCTCCACGCACGCAAAGCCACAGAGTCCTATTTTATTGCCTTCAGGTGTCCAGGACATCTGACAGTCCCCAGACCCAATAACTGAAAGTGCCAAGAACAGGTCAGGATGGAGGAGGGTCAGGCCCAGTGGCTAAAAAATACACCTGCCCCCTAACAAACGAGCCTGAGAGGAAAGCTGCCCAGGGGACAGTGTGGGAGGGCTGGGGCCGGGGGCGCCCCAGCTAAGCCTCGGAGAGATAGAGCTGCAGGCACAGAGACAGGAAGAGAGAGAAGTCAGAATCGGGGAGAGGCAGAGACACAGAGAGAGACGGGGCTGCGGGGCCCAGGCGCAGACACGCAGAGACACGGGGCATGGGGACAAAGGGAAGGGCAGGTCCGCAAAGTGGCGGACGCGGGCAGATGGGGACACGGGGAGGAAGAGACAGCAGAGGGCACGCAGGGTGAGCCGGCCCAGGGAACACGGGGTGCCGAGGCGCCGGGAGAGAGTAGGTGAGACGGCAGGGGGCCCAGAGCCCCTGCTCAGAGGCCCTGGGCTACATGACACAGCACTTGGTCTTGTGTGCGTGTGGCTCTTTGAACCGCAGTCTCTGCTTAGGCCGGTATTTCTCCAGGTAGGTGAGCTGCTTGCTGTTGATGGCTCCACGCCGCTTCCTGGGGGGACAGCACAGGGCTGGGGTCAGGGGGCACACTCAGCACCTGCCCGGCCCCGGGGTCTCGGGGGGTCAGCACAGGGCTGGGGTCAGGGGGCGCGCTCAGCACCTCCCCAGCCCCGGGGAGCTCCAGGCAGAGCTCGCCTCACCTCCGGGCCCTTCCCAGGGCTGTTTCCAGTGCTGACGTCACCCTTCCCATACCTGCTGTCACTGCTACCAGTCTTCACCTCACCTGGCGGTTGCCTCCTCCAGGCCAGCTCCCAAACCCCGTGCCCCCATGGTACGTACCCTCCCAAGGTGTCCCTGTTTAGCCAGTACCGCCCCACCCCCAGGCCACGGGCTTCTATGGGGCCACAGGGTGGTGCCCAGGCAGCTCTGCAGCCAGGGAGGGAGGGAGGGCCTCAGGTGACAGGTGGCAGGGCGTGGGGGGCCCCCACACAAGGCTGCTATCAAGCACTTCAGGAAGTATCCGTCCCCACCCACCCAGGGACTTGCTCTGGCCAACAGAATGGGAGTGGAGGAGACGGCAGGCAAAGCTTACGGAGCCCCTCTGGCCCCAAGACGGGCATTGCTGGAGAAGGGCTGCCCCGCTGGGGACCCAGGGTCCCGAGCAGAACCCCCACATAAGCACATCCAAGGGCCACATGCGTGAAGGACGAGTCTAAGCTGTGCTGGGTCGCTGGGCTTTGGACCTGCCTGGTGCCACAGACCGGGCGCACCACAAGGACAGGGGCCCCTCCTCACCCCGCACCCCCAGCTTCAGGGGCTGCACACAGGGACCAGTCCCCATGGGGGCAGGCGGCCTGGCTGGGGGGCCCTCACAAATGTGTTGGAACCACAGAATGAGGCTGTGTGGGGCTGGGGGCATCTCTGAGGTCACCCTGTGGCCAGGGGTCAGGGATGCCTGCTGGCCAGGGTGGGGCATCCAGGATAAGGACCTCCTAAACTCAGAACCCCAAAGGCACACAGGCTGGCCTGCACCCCCACCCCCAGAGGCCACTCACTGGCGGATGAACTGGATGGCATCTTCGTACTTCATCCCGCTCTCGATGAGAGCCAGGGCCACAAGGACGGGAGCCCTGGGGGCAGACGTGGGGCTGGGTCAAGCCTCGGCCCCCCCACACCTTCCCCTCACACCCACCGCCCAGGCTCCCCAGTGGTGGGCATGGGAGGCAACTCAGCCCCCGAACCTGCTGTGCAGCCCCAGGTGGGCCAGGCACCTTCTCTGAGCCTCAGGCTCCCCAGGTGTAAAGGTGCAGGAGGGCACAGGGCGTGGGCCAGACCTGGGATGAGGGCCTGATAAGCGCCATCAACCCTGCTTGCTGGTCCTCACCCTGAATCTGGGGGACCACTGCCCAGGCCACGATGTTCAGCTCACAGGTGGCTGTTGGGGGATGGGTTTTTGGGTCTGGATGGGGGGTCACAGCTCCTTCTGGCGCGAGTACAGGGACAACCCAGCAGCGGGGAGGGGGTCAGACTTGGGGAGGGACTCCCACCCTGTGGTCATGTGTGACATGGGCCCGGCACCCACGTCCAAGGTCAAGGTAGACCTCCGGACCCCCACGTTCCAGTGAGTCCCACCCCACCCCCACCGGCTCACCGTCCCAGGCCGGCCACGCAGTGAACGGCCACACAGCTGCCAGGGTCATCACAGAACTTGGCCTTCAGCAGGCTCAGCCAGTCCTCCACCACTTTGCCAGGCGGGGGCGCTCCGTCATCAAAGGGCCAGTCCTGCAGAGAGCAGCAGCTCGCGAGGCAGGCGGGCCAGGGGCCAGAGTGACAAGGTCGTCACTCTGGGAAGCACAGCGGGACCCGCGAGGGTGAGGAACAGCAGGCCCCGGAGGGCAGAGAGGTGGCCTGGCAGGCGGTCCGCACTGAGGGGCTCCTCAGCCTCTCTGCTCCAGGAAGATGTCCCCTTCCCCAGGAAGCCTTCCCTGGGCACCCCATCCTTCCCTTTCACAGGCACGGTGAGCCCTACGTCCCCTCCCTGTCAGCCTGTGCGGTGATTCTAGGGCCACAGCCTGCCCCTCGCCAGCCTGAGGAACTCTGGGCGGGCAGGCCCAAGGGGCGCAGAGTACACGCCCCCAGCCCCCAGCCCAGCGGCACAAAGCGGGCCTGGCCCTGCTACCGGGAAGGGGTGAGGAAGGGGTAGGGGTGAGGCCCACTGTCCTGAGAGCTGGATTCCAGAACAGCTCAGCTGGGCCCTGTCCAAACGTTCAGGGATTCATTTGGCTTTAAAAATTACACGGACGACCCACCCCCAAAGTGCCCTGGGAGAGGTGGGCGAGCCTGCCGAGTAAGGGCCAGCCCAGGGCACTGCCGTGAAGACAGGTACTTAGGTGCCAGTGGAGAAGACTCATGCAGGGCAGAGGGGATGAATCCGCGGGGGCTCCCCGGAGGTGGACAGGAAGGCGGCTCCCTGATGCAAAGCTGGTAGCTAAGGGGTCCTCCGATGCTGAGCAGGCCGAGACCCCGACTCAGGGCTGTCCCCGCCCTGCCACCCCGTGCCTCAGGCAGCCCTGCACCAGGGGACGCACCATAAACCCGACCCACAGCCACGTGGCAGCGCGGCCGCCCCTTCCTGTGTCTGGACTGGTGTCCCCAGGGCCAGGGGCCAAGGAAACAGCCCCAAGGCTCCCTCCGCACAGCCTCCGAGGACGGCTCCCCCAGGGACCGCCCAGGTGCACCCGCCCCACCACACGGTGGCCCACCGACACACCGACGAGCCTGAGATGAGCCCCCAGGCGGCCCAGCCGTGGAAGAGGCGGCATGGAGTCCCTGGGGCCTCGGTTAGCCCGCCTGGCTCAGACCCCTGCACAGGGAGACCTCGTTCCCGCCCACGGGGCTGTGGAGGTCGCACCCCAGCCACCTGGCAGGGGTGGAGTGCTGTCATGAAGGTGCCCCTCCCCAAGTGGCCCCAGCTCTGGCACCTTCTGGCTGGCCTCAGACGGCAACTGACCCGAGCCTCAGTTTCCCCATACAGAGCCCCATGCGGGGGCTGCTGTGCAGTGACAGGGGGTGGTGCCTGGCAGCCTGGCCCCGGGGAGGGTCCAGCGACATGACTACAGCTGTGGGCATGCACAGGGCACGTGCTCCTGCCTGGAGGGCCCCACTGGCCAGGGCCAACCATGGCCTCTCTAGATATGTGTCCCGCACCACGTGGCCCAGGTGCCAGCACGCCCGGGGGGTGGCAGGTGGCACGTAGTGAGGCCCCGCGGGCCCGCCTCACAGCAAGGGGTCTCCAACCTCTCGGTGCGGCCCGCCCCCGCCCCCCGCCACCCCGAGGCCCTCACCACCACGGTGATGCCGTCCTTCTCCAGAGGGGCCTTGTCGTAGGTCACTTCGCACACCCGCACCACGGTGGTGGCCCCGTACTTCTTCAGGTCCTGGCAAGGAGGGAGGGCAAAAGCAGGCCGGGCTGCGGCTGAGGGCTCGGGGGTGCGGTACGCCCTGTCCGGGGTCCCCAGGGCAGGGCAGGGTCCCCCTCCCCCAACAAAACAGAAAGGCTGACGCCAAGAGTAACCACCAGGGGTGGCCCTTCAGGGCCCATGATGTGCTGGGGGTGGAAGAGCCTTTCCTGACGCTTCGGGGCGAGGGTCACTGGGCCCCCCCAGTGAAGGCGGGGTGCCCCCACCAACCCTCATTGTGAGCTGGCCAGCCACGAGCCTGGTCTCCCGGCACGTTCCTGCCCTAATCCTGGGAGCTCAGGAGACCCCCCCACCTTGTACCAGCGTTTTCCAGAGAAAGCTCCTGGACCCCCAAGCAGGGACAGGACACAGTGGCCTGCACGTGGCCCTGCACGGTCCCCACTCTGAGTTGCCCTCATGGATGGGTCCAGTTGAAGGCACAGCCAGACTTCACATGCAGGGACCTCACAACGCACGGGGCCAGCACCCGCTCAGTGGCCGGGAGGGGGCAGACCCTGTGCGCCAGAGGGGAAGCCCCAGGGCCACCAGAGGAAAGGTCAAGGCCGTTCACAGCCAGGCTGTTTATATTTATCCCCCTCGCGGGGGGTCCAGTCCACACGGCCACGTGCGGGGCTACTCCCACCACACCTGCTCCAGGGCTATTTTGGGAGCGGTGAGGCATCATCGGCTAGACCTCGCTCATCATGCGGGAGGGACGTTGGACACGGTGAGGGCAGGACGGCTATTCTGAGAATGCGCGGCACAGGAAGGCAGGCGGGGCCCCGAGGCCACGGGGTCACCTCCGGATTCCTCTGTGTGAGCCGCAGCGGGTGTTGCCACCCAGCCCAGGGTTGAGCCCTGACCTCGTCACAGACTGACCTTGCCCCAGTCACACACTGAGCCCTGACCCTGGTCACACTCTGGACCCGACCCTGGTCACATGCTAAGCCCTGACCCTGCCCACACACTGAGCCCTGACCCTGGTCACACTCTGGACCCGACTCTGGTCACACTCCGGCCCCCTGACCCTGTTCACACACAGACCCTGACCCCAGGCACGGGCTGAGTCCTGTGCTGAGTCTTTCCCCAGGTCCTGCTATTACCTCAAGGGTGTCAGCTGTGAAGAGGGGCCGCCCTCCTCTGCAGGGCCCCTGGCGCAGCGTCCAGGCCCAGGCCCCGGCCCCTGATGGCAGGGCGCCCGCTGCCTCCCCCTATGCACTGTTCGAGGTCCTCACAGGCCCAGGTCCCTGTTTCATTAGGACAGGCACCGTGGGGGCGGCTCTCACGTTGCAGGGAAGGGAGGAGGGGCTGAGACCTATGCTCGGCTGCAGGCTCTGCAAACCGCCGCGCGCGGGCACGGCAGCAAGCTCTACAAACAGCTGCGTGTGGTGGCAGGCTCTGCAAACAGCAAGGTGCTCTGCAGAGGCCAGGCTCCTCCAGGAGGCCCCGTGGAGGGCTGCAGGCTCAGCCAACACATCTGGTCACCCCAACGGTGGCCACTCCTTCCTGTGACCAGCTCAGCCTCTTACCCAGCCCCCTCTCCCACAGATCTTCGCCCTGAAGCCTGCGGCCCAGCTGTTACAACCAAGGCCTCCCTGAGAGCCAGCAGGCCTCCTGCAGCCTGGGCTGCTCATGGAACTGAACTTCGCACCCCCGTGGGCCTATGTGCCTGCCTGCAGCTGTCTCAGCAGCCACTTCGCGCCGTGGGACCCTCCCCTTTCCTGTGCAGCCTCTGCCCAGAGGCCACCAGGCAGCTGCTCCAGGCACAGGCCATGTCCCCGGGAGGTGGGGCCGCTTCTCCCGGTCCTGAGCCTGCCTCTCCTCACACAGCACAGAGCACTGCCCCCGCCCCACGCCCTGTCCGCCGGCCTGTCCTGCAGCCCCCAGGGAGCTGCTGACCCCAGACCGCCCTCACAGCCGCTCCCCAAGAGCCTCTGGGCTCCCCGCTCGGGGTCCTATAACCAGGGCCACAGCTTCGCTCCCAAAGGCAGTAGGTGGCTTGACGACTCTAAATCTTCCCTGCCCGACCCCACGCCAGCTCCTGGGAGGCGAGCCGGACATCCCAGCAGGCCCCACTCACCTCGATGAAGGTGCTGAGCGTGGCGTTGGTGGGGTTGTGCGTGATCAGAAAGCGCATGCTCTTGTAGCTCACCTCCACGGGGGCGGGCCGGTTCATCCGCGCCATGCTCCTCCGGGGGGGGCGGGGCCGCACGGGGCTGGGGCCCCCCCGCGGTGGAGAGGCCCCCACCTGCCCCCCACAGCCCGAGGAGACCGCGGTCCCTGTGCTTGTCCCAGACACGGAAAACTCTTTGGAAACGCGCCCCAGCCGCACAGATGCTGTGCAGATACCTCGGAGGTGGAGGAGGTGAGGAGCAGAGCCCAGCTCTTACAAAGCAAAGTAAAAGTAAGGGCAACCAAAAACCCAGCAAAGAAAACTTTGAAAAGACCAGAGCGATCGGGCCGCCGTGGCTCCGTCCAGCGCTGTCTGCCTCTGGGGACACCCCCTCTGCATCGGAGGACAGGCAATCGGCCCCCTGCGCTCAAAGGTGGGCCCCAAACCCTCAAGGACCAAAGGAAAACCGAACTTGAACTGGACCGACAGGGGCGGAGGTGGTGGGCAGCGGCCGCTGCGGGGGGGGCGGCTCTGACACACAGGGCCTCTGTCACGTTACCCCATCGGGGTACTGCGAGTCCTGGAAGGGGCCCGGGGGCTCAGGCGGCACAGCCGGCCCTGGGCCGGACAGCAGGGGCCATCGGCGGGCGAGGGCAATGGTGAGGGCCAGAGGCGCGCCGGCCTCCTCAGCAGCTGACGTGGCGGTGATGCTGGGCCCGGCAGTATTCGGAGCTGCCGCCCGAGGCCTTGTCCATAAATCCCGGGCAGCTCAGCAGCAGGCTAACGTCTGCAGGACAGCAGAGGAAAGGAACAGAAACAGGGGGTCACTGGGAAAGGTACATGTCTAACGCCCTTCCGGGAGAGGGAGACAGTGCTCCCCGGGGCCCCGCCACAGGGCCGTGCCGAGCAAGTGACCCTCCCCAGGCCTCAGTTTCCCCCACCTGGGAGCTCAAGAAAGGACAACTCCCACCAGGTCTAACCCGGAGCGCGGACAGCCACGGGCGTGGCCTGAAAAGGGACGGAGGGAGGGATCCCTGGGACACACACCCCGGGAGCGTGCTCTAACCCAGGGTGCAGATTTCAGGACAGTCTGTATAGCAACAGAGGCCGCTCCCCTCTCCCCGCCGAGCCTGGTCCCCCCTCTGCAGCCCGTGACCAGCAGACACCCCACCCCCACCCCAGCCACACTGCTCTGCGGAATTCTGGGCCTCTGTGGAATTCCTGAGCCCAGATCATTCTGGGAAGGCCAGTCCTCAGGGAAAGGGGCTCAGGCGCGGGTGCCCAAGTGCCCGGGCACAGCGGGGCGCCAGGGCTGCGGCCCCGCTCATGGCTGCAAACCACCTTACGCTTGTCTCACGAGTGCCCCATGGGAACCTCCACCCCTCCGCTGTCTCCACCGCTCACCCCAGGGCCAGCCGGGCGCCAGAGTAAACAAACGGGCTCTGCCCGCGGGGAGCTCTGGAGAAGCAGAGGCAGACCACAGCGACCTGTCAAGGTGTGACTACGCAGGTGGCCAGGAGTGAGTCACACTGTGAGGGCCGCAGGGAGGGACACGCTGGGCCGCAGAGACCAGCATGGAGAACTGCCACACACCCATCTCTTCCTCTCTGTGACCCAAAGTTCCTGGGCTGGGGTCCCAGAAGGAGCACCCTCCCCCACCCCCACTCCCACCCCCCCACACGGGCTTGGACACCTTGAGCACATCAATGACCTCAGTTTCCCCAGCTGCACAATGACGGGTTATACAAGATGCCCCTGAAGTCCCTCCAGCTGTGACCCAGCCCCACGAGTCACACCCCTGTCTGCTCACTCGGCCAGGCCCTCCACTCCCCAACCCTGTAGCTCTTACCTGCGGCCCCGCCCCAGCACCCCCTTCTCCAGCCCTCCACCAGGCAGGTTGAGCCTGCGGAGCCTCGGCCTAGGTGCAGCAAGGACCCAAGGCCTGAGCCCCCGGACATGAAAGGACCAGCACAGGGGCCACACCTCAGTCCTGTGCCAGGGTCCTAGGAGGGCCGGATGGGGAGAGTCCCGGGAGGGGGAGAAAAGCCGAGAGAAGGAAGCCTCAGCCCCAAACCTGAACCGTCCCAGCACAAGCCTCCCTTCTGCTCAGAGCGCAGGTGAGGAAGGAGGCGGCCACGAGCGCCCTGAATAGCACGCAAACACCTGTCCCTCCTGGGGCAGCAGGATGTTCCCGAGTGTGTGTGTGTGTGTGTGTGTGTGTGTGTGTGTGTGTGTGTATGTGTGTTTACCAGAAGGAAGGAAGAAAAAAGGCCCAAAGAACCGCAGGGTGACAAGAGGGGCTGAGCTGCCACCTCACTGCCCACAGACGCCGGGTACAGGGAGACCCCAGCACGTGGCCTGGGCCTGTTGCCCAGGATGCCCGAACAGGTCCTCAGGGCTGAAGGTTCCTGGGCAGGGAAGGGCCACACTCTCATCCACCTGAGCCTGAAGGTGTCCCCAACTGGCAGAGCTGAGGGGCTAGACTGGCTGGGGACAGGGAGCAGCGTATAGGCTAGAATGGGGTCAAGGGTCAGACCAAGATCTCTCCCAGGCCAGGGTGGGTCCGTGCAGAGTCTGGGTCCCCCACTCCCAGCGGGGAGCAGGCAGTGAGGCCTCCCCCCTGCTGCCCCAGGTGCTCCCACAAAGCTCAACCCCCCCCCAGGGGCCCTTCCCCAGCCACACCCCCTCAAGGAGGCCCCTGTGCCCAAGTTCTCCAGCACCCCCCCCACGCCCACCACCGTGAGGCAAGAGCCCTGCTGGTAGCTGGGTGTCTCCCCACGGGCCTTCCCGCCAGAGGCCCCACGACCGAGCTCCCGGGACCCAGCAACCCTCCCCCCACCTGTGGGCACCCAACCCTCTGCTGTGTGCCAAGCAGTCATCCATTGGAAGCCACTCAGGGGACCATACGGTCCTCCCTGTTTGCAGAGGAGTAAGGGGACCAGGGAGAGAAGGCGGGAGTTCCCTGGGCCCTGACCAGGCGCTCTGTGCCCACACTGAACCCCAGCGAATGCGAGGGGACCCTGATTCAGGGAGGCTACAGCCCTCATTTCTGGTCACAGCCTGCCGAGTTTGAATCCGCTTCAGAGAGGGCCAGCCCCTCTGGACCCAGGCCCCTGAGGGAAGCGACGGGGGGCGGGACTGGAGCTCAGTGAGGTCCCAGGAGACGCAGAGCGGCGGCGTGGGCGCTCGGTGGGCAGGGCCTGGACTTGGCACCGCGAGTCAGGTCTTGGATGGGGGCCACCACGGCCGGGGCTGCGTGAGCCCCGAGGCGCGGGGGTGAGGGGGGCTGGTTCCAGAGGTGCGGGCCCCTCCCCGGGGTGCAGCTGAGGTCCCCCCACAAGGCGGCAGGCCCCCGCCCACCCCGGCTCACCCCGGTTCAGGCGCGCGCAGGCGTCCCGCCGCCGCCTCCATCCGTGCGCGGGCGGGCAGGGCGCGGAGGCTCGGGCGCGCCGGCCACCCCGGGATGCTGGGCGCCCCGCGGCCCCGAGCTATTTATAGCCCCCGAGCATCACGTGGGCGCGACGGCTGGTGCCCGGGAGGGCCACTCGACTCGTTGTGGCTCCCACACCTGCCGCCTAAATATAACCGCGGGCCGCCCGGCGTGCCCCGGCGAACAAAGGGGCTGCGGAGGGCCGCGCAGGGGAGAGGAAGCGGCAGGAGGAAGGGGAAATGCGAGCAGAGGGGAGGGCGGCTGACCATTGCGAGGCGGGGCCCCTGCCGCGGAGGCGCCTGCCTTCTGCGGGCTGTGCTTGGGCGCCAAAGCCCCCTGGCACCCCCGCCGGCCCTCTGTGGCACCCTCTGGGGCTCCCCAGGCTCCCACAGCGGAGGGAGGGGGACCTGGGCACCGGGAAAGGCCCGCAGGGGGAGCGCTCCACGCGGCAGACAACAGGGTGCCGTGCCCGGGGGTGGGGGGGGAAGGCTGACGCCCACAAGGTGAGGGCCCTCCGACCCCTGCCGCGGCCGCACCGCCCCCCCCAGAGCTCTTCCACTTCCTCCGCGACCCGAGCACCTTACTGTGTGCTGTTCCCCCCTGAGTCCCCACCACTGCTGGGGGAGGCTGCTGCCGTCCAGCCCGCCCCCTCGGCGTGTGCAGGGGAGGAAACTGAGGCACTGGGCCAGGAGCCCACACAGGGCCACACTGCCAGCGGTCTCCACGTCCCACTCACCCTCCAACGCTCAGTGCAGGCCTCCCCACCCGGAGAGGCCCTCTGTGATGCTCTGGGTGTCAGGGCCTCACCAGCCGGGTCCTGGCTTCACCTCCTGGGAGCACCACGTAAGGAAGGCAAGTACTCCCCGGACCGTGGGCCTCAAGAGTGGAGGCTGACCTCACAGCAAGGCCGTACCTGCCCCGGCCGGCCCAGAGGCGCCCAGAAGGGACTGCAGCCTGACAGACGCAGCCCCAGCACACCGGGTCCCTGGAGGCCTCACCTCCCTGGGAACCTGGCTGGGCAGCCCGGCCCCTGCAGTCAGCAGTCAGAGCCTGGGCCGGGCAGAGGGGGTGTGCAGGCAGGGGCCTAGCCCAGAGCCCAGCCCCCTGCCAGGCTGTCCCCGCACTGGGATAGTAGCATCAGACACGCCTGTGACCCTGGCCTCCTCACACCCCTTACCGTGTCCTGGCTGCAAAGCCCCCACAGGAGCCCCCCACAGGTACACCCCTGCCAAGCCAGGGGGCCCACCCTTCAGCTCAAGGACCCCAGGCCAAGGGTTCCTCTCCTGGTGCCTCCGTCCAGCACCAACGCGCTTGGGCACCTCACTTCCAGCAGCCCCTTCCAGAAGGCCGTCTCTAGGCACTCAGTGACACCCCACCCCCCCGCCCAGCATCCCATCCCGACCACTTCCCGAGGGGTCTGCCCCTCCCATGCTGTGCCTGACGCTGCATCCCAGGAGCAAGATGCGTGGGCCACAGGGTGTTCAGAAAACACAGCAGGCCAGAGAGGTTGAGTGACTTGCCCAAGTCACACAGCCAGCAGAAGGACCACGGTTGGGGCGGAGTTCTGCTGAGCCGCAAGGCCCTGCACACGGCCACGACTCCGGGCCTCAGGGGGAAAGGACCCCCGGCGCAGGCTGCTTGCAACACCCTGGTCTGTTTCCTTATCCGTACAAGTTCCCATCAAGCTCTCTGGTCTGAACCCGAGACCCAGAGTCCCTGTGCCGCATGGCGGCAAACCTGGGCCTGGGCAGCACAGTTCCCCTCGCCTGGGGCCCCCGCTCTGGCCAGGCTGGGGGGGCGGGGGGGGCAGCTGGCACAACAGCAAGCCCTTCGGAGAAGTCTATTTTTACCAGAGCAGGAGCCGTTCCTGGAAGGCTCCCAGAGCGAGCCCAAGTCCACCCGCTGCTGGGGGCAGGAGGGGGGTGCTGAGAGGCCGGGCCCACCCTGCTCCCCCAGAAACCTTCCCCCCGCCCTCCCGCCCCTGCACCCAGCAGCACTGAGGGGCCGGCGCCCTCCCTGACCAAGCACTGCTTCCCTCTCCCCCGCCCCGACCATCGTGGCTTGTCCCCTCTCCCTGCAGCCACATGCCCTTCGGGGCAGAGCGGCCCAGTCGCACCCTGCCTCCCGCACGGGGTCTGGCACCAAGAGGGCTCCCCACTTGTTTACAGAAGGAGCAAATGACCCAGTGTTTTTTCTCAGAGGTCCAGATCTGAGAAATATCCAGAACCGATCACGGGATCCCAGCCCCTTGAGGTCCAGAGGAAACTCAAAGGTCACCCATGCCACCTAATGTCCAACTTGCACACCTCCAGCGACAGGGAGCTTACTACTCCTTGGCAGCGCCTCTCTGCCTTCAGGCAGCTCCCGGAGTAATCGGCTCCTCCCCCTGGTGCCCGCCAAGCGCCAACCGCCGGGTCGGGGACCAACGGGAGGAGAGCTTCCGAGCAGGTTAAGCCAGCACAACGGGCATCGCCGAGGGCAGGGCCGGAGGCTCAGGTGACCAGGGAAGGCGTTCCTGGAGAAGCCGGCCAGCGGCAGAGGCACCGGCTGCTCCTGGCGCTGGGGCCTCCTCCGGGCTTGACCGGCTGCCGGGACTCCCTGTGCCACCCGGAGCCAGGGACACTGCCGGGGAGGCAAGGCGCCTTCTGAGCTGGTGCCAGCTGCGAGTTGGTCCCCACGGGGCATCCCAGCTCTGACCTGGAAGCAGGGCACAGGGAGCAGGCTTTGGGTCCCGCTGGGCCGGGCACCTGTTCCACCCACCAGGGGCTCAAGGAAGATGGAGCTGCCCGCTGCCCCTCAGCTTCGCATGGGCCCCTCACACCAGAGGCTTTCATGGTGCCCGGCAGACGTGGTGCCGGCTGCCAAACCGAGCGGCCCGCCCCCAAGCCGCCCTCGAGGGCCGTCGGCCACCAGCCCTGCGGACACCCGTGTGCATCCCTAGAGCTCGGCTGAGGCTGCCGGGCTCCACCCCAGCTGTCATTAGCAGCGGGCACAGAGCAGCTGGGCAGGTGGGCCACACCAGCCATCCTGGGACCCCCCCACCCCCCCAGACGGGATGCACCCAGCAGGCGCCAGAAGAACCTCCCGGGGACTGGCCCTGCCCCCAGCCCCTGCCAGCCGGAGTTCACAGCTGGGGGCTCCGTGGCCTGGAAGCTGTGGACATCACACGGTGCCACACGGGCCACAGGGTATCCAGCACGTGAGGGGACTGCTCACCTCTGTGTGAAGCCGGCCCCCCCACCCCCACCCCCACCCCGCTGACCAGGACGCCCGCAGCCCCCACACGGCCCAGCCCCCACCTCGGCGCTGGCTCTGAGCGCGTTCTGCCACCGGCGTGCCCCTGAGCCCCCCTTGCTCCGACTCCAGACCTCAGGACTCCCCGAAGGAGAGGGGACACTAGGCGTGTGCTCGTGTATTCCTTCCTTCATCCCATTTACAAATATTTATCGAGCATCTCCCAGTTCGAGGTACGGGGCTAAGCTTGGAGGTGCAGGGGAAGCACTCACCGGGCCAGGTAGCCTGCCCCACCCTCCTCCGCCCCCCACGTGAGGCCCCCTCCACCCCTCCATCCCCCTGCCCTGAGAAGCCTGACCCCATGAGCACCTTGCATGCAGGCAGCACTGCTGAGCCAGGGGTCACCCCTTCCCTGGAGCTAAACCCCCTGGGTTCCTCACAGGACACCTCCCTCCATCCTGTGCCTCAGTTTCCCAAGCTGTCACACAGAGGGTTCCAGTGTGGCATCTCCCAGCACTGCCGGTCACTGAGCTGCCTCAGTCTCACCTGGGCCACCCCCAAAGCTGGCAAACTGGGGTTCCGGGGACCTCAACCTGCCCAGCCTCCCCTGCCCTGGCTCCTACCTTGGGGCTCCAGCCTGACCCACCCAGATTGGCAGCCGCCCTGGGGACCCTCCTGCCCCCCTGCCCTGACCGTGCCTGGACTGCCTGCCCCGTCCCCACAGCAGCCCAGCTCCTCAGTGAGACCAGGTGACCGTGGGCGCTCACAGCCCCCTCGTCTGCAAGGAGGAAGGACCGCAGTGGCCACCTCAGGATGTCGTCAGGAGTCGTGAATGAAAAGCGCACAGAACAGGGCCGAGGGCAGCCGAAGCCCCAGCTGTCAGTGCCACCAGGGGACCCCAGCAGCAGGGCGCCGAGTGCCTGGCCCTCCCCAGTTTCAGGCCTGGCCGTCCTCCAAGGTCTCTGACCCTGTCCCCATGCAGGCCTGAGGGGAGGGCCCGGTCCCCTGCGACCCCAGCCCCACTCAGGACCCCACCTGAGACACAGACTCGGGGACACCCACGCACCTGCTCCCCCCTCAGAGGATGGCGATCTCGGGGGTCTTCAGACCCAACCCCCCTTTCCTCTTTCCTCCAGCCAGCCAGCCCACTCTCCGCACCAGGCCGGGCATGAAGACACACGGGTGTTATTTCAGAGGGCAGCTCAGTGCGGGTTTCGTGAGCACACAGGCCACCTCCAGCCCCAGACTCAGCCTGGGATCTGGGGCCCACGTCATTCACCCACCCACCTGGTGAGCGCCCCAGCCGGATACAGTGAAACCAGGAGATAGAGTGGTGGCCCCACGCTGCTGCTGCTCGCACACTATCTATGGCTCCCAATGGCTCCAAGCCAAGTTCTGACTTTCTGGCCTGGCCCGCTGGCCCCTGGCCCTCCTCCACTCAGCTCATGGGTAGGAGGAGGTGGGGGGGAGGGGCCTGTAGGGTTCATGCCTCCAGTCGCCCTTTTCTCTCTGTCCAGAGGGCTGCCTCCCCTGTTCCTACTCCTCCTCCAGGAAGCCCTGGATACCCTCACTGCTGGGGTTTTCCCCACTGAGTCGTCATTCCTTTGTGCACCTACCCAGCACCCCCTCTGCTCCAGGTCCCATGCTGATGGCACAGGGGGGTGGGGGGGCGGTGTGGAATCAGGGGTGAGTGACCCCCATGACCCCACCCTCAGGGAGTCCACTGTCTGGGGTTGAGATCAGTGGGGGAGATGAGGCAGCGCGGGGCGGGCTGAGGGCAAAGCACAGGCTGACAGCACCCCAGCCACGTGGGGTAAGTGTGACATTCCTCCAACACTCCTGGCCGCCCAAGAACAGAGGGAAGGGGGTCAAGCGCTTGCCATGGCGATGGGGGAAACTAAGGCAAATGAAAAATTAAATTCTCTTACTGCCTCCAGCCCATTGACAAGTGCTTGAAACGGGCAGAGTGACCTCCCCGAGGAGCTCAGCCCCCTAGATGATGACACTTTGCTGGGGCCAAAACCTCACCAAAACCTTGGCTTAACCTCATCCCGACCTCAAGGATCCTGAAAGTCTACTTCCTTTACCTCCACTGCCCCAGGATGTGTGCGGCAATCACGCCTCAGGCTCGTGGCCCCGGGTACACATCTGAAGGGTCTCATGACTGAGGTTTTACTGAACTGTAATAAATGGCGCTGTCCTGGCCCCTCACGGTCCGGGAAACCTTGCTTCCAGCATTCCCTAGAACCTTACTCTGTCCCGGCCTCCTCCCAACCTGAGGGTATGTGATGACTTCCCCATCGCGACCCCAGGGCAGCTCTTCCTGACCACGGTCCTGGCCACCCCCGCTGCCGTGCTTTCATAAAATCACTTTTTTGCACCAAAGACGTCTTCAAGAATTCTTTCGTGGCCGTCGGCTCCGGACCCCCCACCACCACCCAAAACCCCATCAGGGGGACACATGATAACCAGGCAATGGACTGCACTGGACAGAAACCAGACCGGGGGGTGGCTCTCCAGAAAGGTGAGCAAAGATGGGCATCTTTGGGCAGAGACACAGGACGACCCCAGGACCGTGGCACCAGCCCGCCTCCGAGAGCCCAGAGAACAGGGCTCACCAGCGTCCGTTCCTGCTGCCGGCTCTGGATTCTGTTTCACGCCCAAGTCTCCATCCCCCTCATCACCTCTGCATGCGCGCACGCGCGTACACACACGCACGCACGCACACACACCGTAAGCCCCATTTTACATGGAGGCCAGACAGAGGCGGAGCAGAGCAACCTGGAACCGGGCTCCTGCTTCCCTTCCCCGGGATGAGTCCCGCAGACTTCACCGTGCCCAGCGGGGACCAGGGTCGGAGTGCACAGCAGGCCTTCCGAGCAGCCAAAGTGGGTGCCAGGAGGCCCAGCCATGAAAATCGCTGCCACGCCCCGGAAGAGCCACCAGGTCCTCGACTTAGGGCCCAGGGACTCATGCTTTGCTCAGAGTTATGACCAACCTGAGCTCTGGATACTTCCAAACCCCTCGAGGCAAGGCGGTCACTCAAACCCAAGGTGACAACCAGTGACAATCCAAGCTGCCACTTACTAACAGCGAATAACCTGCTTTCCGACAGAGCCCAGGGACTCTTAGGGTCAAACAGACCATAATCTCCTCCGTTTGTTTGCTGGGGAGGGGCTCCTGCATCCCTGAAGCTTCCCGATCCTTTTTGTACAAGAGGGTTTAAAATGGCCCCACAAGGGGCGTCTGGGGGCTCAGTCGGTTAAGCGGTTAAGCGTCTGACTTCGGCTCAGGTCATGATCTCACGGCTTGTGAGTTCGAACCCCAACTCGAGCCCTGTTCTGACAGCTCAGAGCCTGGAGTCTGCTTCAGATTCCCTCCCCTACTCACGCCCTGTCTCTCTCCGTCTTTCAAAAATAAACATTAAAAAAAATAATAATAAATAAATAAAATGGCTGCACAAGTCACTGGAAGGCTCAAAGGACAGAGACTGCACGCAGGTCTGCACCCTCTGGAGAGGGTGTGGTCGAATCAGCATCTCAGTTAGGCCGGAGCCAACCACAGGTCCCACCTGCTGGCCGCCAGTCCAGCCCCACAGCACCTTTCACTGCCCTGCTAACAATACACGATCATCAATTTTGTTTAACCAGAGAGGGACACAAAGAGGCTCAGGCTACCCCCACTCCATGGGGCAGAGAGCCAGGCCGGTCCCCACTGCCAGTCGACAGTGCAGGTCATCCTCCCCTGTGCCACTGGCTGGGAATTACAGAAGTATTAAAGAGCAGTATATTCTGGAAGCTTCCAGCATGGTCTGGAAGGAGAAGTTTCCATCACAGGGCCACCCCCAGACCCATTTGATGGAGGAAACCACTGAGGCTCAGGCGAGCTGAACAAAGGACTGGGAACCCCTGCCCCCCCCAAGTCTGCCCCAAGGGCAGCCACACCCAGGCCTCCCGCCAGCCCCACCTTCCACACCTCCCACCCCCACCAGACCCGGAGCCAGGGAGCTTGAGGACACTCACCCGCCTTTCTGGTCCTGGAGTCCGGGGCGCCGTGCCCCCGCCCAGCTTTATCCCCGCCTGGCTGCCCGCCCTCCCGCGTCAAAGGCCCCAGATCCCGCGGGCCGGTGACCGGTGCTGGGAGGCGGGGGCAGGCTGGGGCAGCCCCAGAAGGATCCCAGCCTCTGGCTCCTGCTACACTTCCTCCCGCCTCCCGGGCTGCCTGGCGGCAGGGGGAGTGGGGCTGGGCCTCGGGTCTGAGGTTGAGGCGAGCACCCTGGTCCGGGAAACAGGCCGGAGAGCCCCCCCTCCCCCGCTGAGCCTGACTCTGGGGCCTGCAGGAGGCAGGACAGTCCCCAGGGCCCTGTATCCAAAGGCAGCCAGAGCAGGGAGGGGGGCAGGAGGGGGCAGAGGGGTGGGCGCGGAGCCAGCTGGGAGGAGAGTCCCAGCCTGGCCCAGGTGCTGTGACTCACACACCCGCCTGCCGGCCCCTCCCTCTGGAGCAGTCCCACAGGCCAGGTGCACCTGGGGCCACCCACCAGTCTGGGCCCCCCGGGGGCAGGGCCACACCCGATCCCCTTCGGGTCTGCCCAGGCAAGGTACGATTTCAGAGGGTCAGTGCACACAGTGGACCATGAGCGGACGAGTGGACAGGCCATCGGAGGGGAAGACCGGCCAAGCCAGCGGCTCAGACAGGACTCCCCAACAACGCAGCGTGACACAGCCCGGCGCAACTCTGTCCCCGTGTACGCTCACTCGAGCCATGAGGGGGTGTCCTGACCAGGCGCCTGTGCTGGGAGGGGCCCCGTCGCCCTGCACCCCCGTGCCCCTCCCCGTGGCCCTCGGTGTCCTCCATGCCCTCTGGCCCGCGCCCCAACTTCCCCCACGCCTGGGGGACCTGGCCAGGCTGGACGTCAGACCACAAAGGTCTCACTGCCCGGGGCCTCCACACAGAGGCAGGGGGTCCTCTCTTCTGAGACCCAGGGTCCTGCCTTCGTACCCGCAGGGCTGGAGCCCCCTCCCTGGGCCCTGGGCCATCACTGCCCCTCCCGGGGCCCCAGCCCACCCATCTTAGAATGGACACCGCTGGACTCATCCGTGTTTCCAAAATTTCCGGCCTCCACCTCCTGCTCCAGGGCCCGGCCACACGAGGCCTGGCTGACCCTGGGTGGCCGGAGGCAGTGTCTGCAGGCCTGGCTGCACCCCGGCCCCCAGCCCCCTTGCCATGGGGCCTTGGTCCCAGGGGACTGGAAGTCCGCCAGCCGCCCGCCCAGGCAGGCCCACTGTTCTGGAGCACAGGGTGTCCGCCTGGGAATCCCGCGGCCTTGGGACTCTAACGGGAGGAAAAGCTTGGAAAGCCCGCCCTAGCCCGCACCCATAGTCCCCGGCGCCTCCCCCGGGCTGGCGCTGACTCCTGGCACCGTGCCACCAAGTCTCCAAGGTCCCCAAGGGCCGGTGCCCAGAATGGGCATGGCGTCCCAGCGGGCCGCGGAGATTCACGGAGCCACTCGGAGCTAATGACCCCTTCGAGGCCCCCGCACCCTCCAGGCCCCCAGGTCAAGCCCTTGCCAGGAATGCGGAGGCCCCCATCCCTGCCATCCTGAGAGCTCAGGGCCTCCCCAGTCGACCAGGCAGACCCCAGCCCCTCCCGTGCCACACACACACTGGGACCCTCAATAGGCGAAAGGAAGCTGGGGTCCTCTGAGCATTGGGGTGGGTGCAGTGGCCCTCAAGGTCAATGTGACCTCACAGGGGATGCTACTCATCAAGGCCACACCCACCAGAATCAGCCAGAGGCCCCCCAGGGGTCCTCAGCTGCTAGAAGGCTAGGTCCCCCCAACCAGTGCCCCCAGGAACGCCCTGGCAACTGGGAAATCCCTCTCTGTGGCTGCTGTGTGCCCCTGGGACCATGTCCCCACCTCTCCGGGCCTTCTGAGTCACCAGCACAAAGTGGAAATAACAGACCCTCACAGGTAAGGGAACAAGGTCTGCCCCTGAGGGCCTGCCCTCTGGGTGCCCATCCCCCGAGTGCCCGTGGCGTTGTCACACAGCCTGGCGGGGGGGGGGGGGGGGGGGGGGGGGCCGGGGCACGCACATAATGGGCAGGCTCTGCAGAACAGACCCCAAATTCGGCTGCCTTTGATGTGCCCGCCCAAATCGAGCAAGGCCACGGGCCCCAGCCCCTCTCTGTGGAGGAGCCGCTCTGGGTCCCCCCTCAGGCCAGGACAGTGCCAGGACAGGGCCCCCAGGATGGTGAGGAGACAGCGGGAGGGGCTGCCCCGCACACAGCCAGTCCCAGGCAGGCAGTGCGCCCCTCCCTGCCGCACCCGCTGTACCCTGATCCCAACTGGGAAACAGGACCAGATGGCAGCCCAGCACCCCCCGGGGAGGGGCTCTGCCCCTAGAGCAGCCAAGTCTCCCTGCCTGGCCAGCACCGTGTGCCCACGCAGGATACTGTCAACAGGAAGCTTGTGGACCCGGGGTGACTGGACCTCGGGGCCTCACAGTGTGGCAGCCACTTCTCCCCACCACACCCAGAGCCTGGCCAGAAGCAGCAGCAGCACAAACCGTGTCGGAGGAGGTGACTGAGGCCCAGCTGGAACCCAGGTCCACGGGCCGCTCCCCGTCCTGAGTCCACGCTCTGCTGCTTCTCAGCTCACCACTCCTGGAACACCCCAGGGATGCGCCCAGGGTCTCCCAGGGCAAAATGTGGGGAGGCCCAAGGACCCCTCCATGCAACAGCCTCACACGAGGCTCTCAGCCCAGGCCCCGGCCCTCGTTTATCCTCAAGGCAGTCCTGGAAGCATCCATCACCCCATTTTATGGATAAGTACATTGAGACCCTGGCCGTGCCATCGGTGACCTGCCTGAGGCCCCGACGCTGCGAGGTGCCTGAGCCAGGATTCGGGGCGAGCCCCAGGTAGACACTTTCTATGCATTTTTCCCTTAAAACCACCGCTGATCGGGAAACCAAGGCCCAGGCCTCCAACGGGGTCAGGGCTCCAGGAAGCCTCGTCGCCCAGCGCCTGCCTTGTCCCTGGAATCCCTGCCCCCACCCAGCACACGGGGGCCCTGGGGGTCAGGCGGGCAGGAAGGGGTCGCCGGATCACGGAGGTGGCCAGGGCTGCCGGCCAAGGCCCTGGTGGACGCGCGTCAGACGGCCCTTTGGGAGCCACGGGAAAGAGCTGTGACCTGGCCTCGGGAGGCCACATCCAAAATAACCAGCCCCACCGCCCTGCGAGGACTCAGCAGGGCGCACGTAGGCCCCCTGGTCCCGGGCGCTGCCAAGCTGGGTGCGCAAGGTCACAGCTATTTCTGGGCCCGCCTGGCAGCGGGATGCAGCCCCCCGGAGCCCCCACAAGACCAGAGAGGGGGACAGGTCGCTGCCCCCAGGACACACAGCAAGAGGGGCCTACACGTCCCTCTCTGAGCTGAGCCGTCGCCCTTTCGAGAAGCCCGTTCGGCACCATCAGCGTGTAAGTTTCACGTTGGCTCCACTGGCATTTCCAGGCCATCGCGGCCACGCTATGCCCCCGGCTGGACCCCCGGGTGGACAAAGAACTGCGTCCCCTCTCTGAAACGGCAAGAGAGGCTCTGCTTCCTGCCCTTCAGCGGCTGGAACCCCGCACGGCCCAGCCCACACCCCAGAGACACCAGTGCTATGCCCACCATGTACAGCCTGCACCCCAAGCCCCCTTCTACCCTCCACAGGTCACAGCCTGTGGGTGCCAGTGGCCATCCAGCCACCGGGAACCGGAGGCCCCGAGAGGCCATGAGGTGGCACTCCCCCTCAAAGGTGGCGCAAGCCCCACCTTGCTCAGGCTGTGACGACCATTCCCAGAGTGTCAGCGGCTCGGGAGTCGGGCCTGGTTCCCACCCTGGCCCCTCCACTGCAAGCTGTGTGACAATGAGCACATCCCTCAACCTTTCTGGGCCTCGGTTTGATCATCTGGCAAATGGGTTCCCTGGAATCTCCTCCTTCATGGGGCGGCGGATGGCTGTTCTCCTGGGGCCTGAAAGGACTCCTCCCTTCCAAGCAGACTTGTCTGAATCCCTTGAGTGTTTCCGCTGAGCCAGACACCCCCAGGGGCTCTGCCAGGACCCTGAGCCCCCAGGAGAACCCGGGTTCAGGACGGCGATTCTCCGCGTGGGTTCCTGGGGACACCGAGGGGGCTTCCTCCCAGCGGGATGTCCCAGAGCCTGCGTCCCTCTGTAGATGTGGTGATGTGGAGGGGGCAGCCGATGGCACATTTCGAGAATGTTCGTGACACCACGAACCAGCGGCGAGGGCACCTGGCAGAACCCCGCCTCGGCAACAGCAGGTTGGGGCCGTCCCCATGCCTGGCCTCCCTGCCTCCTGCTCTGAGTCTGGCTGTCAGCGCGGTGATGGTGACACAGGATGGAGGCAGGGGCCACTCCGGCCACCAGCCCCACCCCCCGCCCGGTGTCCCTACACGGGTCTGCGTGGCGAGCTGCGGGTATCGGGATCAGCTCCTGGCTGCAGGCATCACCCACTGTGAGGACACAGGCGGGACGGCCAGCCCAACAGGGCAGCCAGGAGGTGCCTGCCGGCCATGGGAGGGCAGGCACCCGACGGGCACCCAGTAAGCACCCAGCCAGGCCACCCTCACCGCTGCCCCTGCTGCCTCCCGGCAGCCCCAGCAACGCCATGGGAGCTGCCTTCCCAGACAGAAGGCGCATCCCGGGGAGCTGAGCACTAGCGCCACCTGCACTGTGGGTCCCACACACTGGGGAAGCGTCACAACAGATCCTCCCAAGGGAAACCCCTCCTCTCCGGGGCCTCGAGGACCCACCATGGGGAACCAGAAACCCCCCAGCGACGAATGAGGGGCTGACGCAACTTTCAGCCCAGGGTCTGCACCAGGCCCTGGCTCCCTCAAGCAACTCTGGACGTCACCGCGGGCACGGCAGGGGCGGCAGCAGGTGGGGCCGTGCCACCAGGCCAGCAGGCAGACCCACACCTGGCACAGCACTGCCGGCTCCCGCCCCCCTTTCCCCAGGGCTGCAAGCCCAGCACTGACAGCCCGGGACCCCCCGGGGAGGGTGTGGGGGGAGCTCGGAGGAGCTGGTCTCCACCCCAGCAGCCCCCGGGCCCAGGAAGTTGGTCCCGCTGGGTGGACGCCACAGCTCAGCGCACCCCCCTGCCAGAGCCAGGCCAGCTCCCTGGAGCACCTGCTGGTCAGCACCTCGGGGGCTGGGGGCCCTGGGGCTGTACCGTCTTCACATCAGGCAGAGGTGCCCAGAGCCAGCTGAGTGCCCAGCATGGCGGCCCCGTCCTCGCCAGACCCGGCAAGACCAAAGTCACCAGACAGGTGTACAGGGACAGAACGGGGCTAGGGACTCACTTTAGAGGTGACAAAGCCCCGCTCCGCATCACCTGGCCTGGCAGCAGCTCTGTGAGCCCCGTACAGGGCCGGGTGCCCCGCGCCCCTCTGAGCACGGCCGCCCCGGCTCCGCGGACCCACAGCGGTAGGACACACTGGGTAGCATCACAACACAGGGCGGAAACAGACCTGTCGGTGAGCCGGCGCCACTTCGCGCTCCTGACCAAGCTCGCCGATGCCGGGCACGGTGCTCAGGCGCGGGGAAGGGCGGCTCGACCCTGTCTTCCCAAACTCGCGGAGCCCCAGCACGGCCACGCAGCCGGCAGGTGTCCTCGTCACCGCCCTCTCTAAGCGCTAATAAAGCCCCTGCGTGCTGGCCGCTGGGGCAGAGCCGGGCTAATCCTATTTTGCAGACTTTACTGAGAGGAACGCGCTCAGGCCAGACTGCGGGGGAGGGAGCTGGTCCCATTTGTTTTCTGAGATAAAATTCACGGAGCGTGAACGGAGTACACTTGGGTGTTTTCTGCGCAGCCCCCACCACTACCTGACTCCAGAGCATTCCCACCACCTCAACGGGCGGCCCCACACCCACCCCAGTCTCCGGCCGCCCGCCCCGGCCGGCCGCTCAGCAGCGGGGGATTATTTCTCTGTGGATTCGCCCTGGTGCACATTTCACAGAAACGCCATCAGGCACCAGGTGGCCTCGGCATCCGGCCCCTTTCACTCAGCATGAGGCTATCGAGGGTCGTGTGGGCTGTCACTGGGTCAGGACTTCACCCTCTTGGTGGCTGAGAACCTCTGCACCGCGCGGAGACCACGCTCTGCTCATCTCTGCTCAGCCGACTGGTGTCCGGCTCACCTCCAGCTCTGTTCCCGGGTCGCCCGCAGGGACGGCGCACCAGGAGGGTGCAGGACACGACACGGGAGCCGTTTCAACACACCCACGGGCATCCGTTCTTCCGAGGCCCCACCCTGGAGCAGCAGGAGGCTCCTTCCAGCCTACCTACCAGAACCTGCAGAGGCCTGGGTGCACTGCGGGTGAGAAGAGACCCGGGGAGGGGCAGACAGGGCATGCCAGGGGGTGCGGGCCTGTAGGTCCAGGCAGGGGAGTGGGCACCGCTGCACGGGGTGGGAGCACCAGGCTGCCGAGGGCACTGGGCAGGCCAGGGACGGACAGGGGTCCCAGCAGCCGGGCAGGTAAGGGGGCCCCCCCAGGTTCCAGGCCGGGCAGGTAAGGGGGGCCCCCCAGGTTCCAGGCCGGGCAGGTAAGGGGGGCCCCCCAGGTTCCAGGCCGGGCAGGTAAGGGGGTCCCCCAGGTTCCAGGCCGGGCAGGCCTGGCCTTCACAGACAGGAAAGGGGGACACCAGGGAGCTCACTCAGTCGAGCCTCCAACTCTTGATTTCAGCTCAGGTCATGATCTCACAATTTGTAATATTAAGCCCTAAGTTGGGCTCCATGTGCTGACAGCAGGGACCCCCTTGGGATTCTCTGCCCCTCCCCCACCTGCTTGCCCGTTCCTGTCTCTCCCTCAAATTAAATAAACTTAAAAAAAAAGGACAGGAAAGATTTGTCAAAGCAACTTTATTTTTTTTTATAATTTTTTTTTAATGTTTTATTTATTTCTAGGAGAGAGAGAGACAGCGTGAGCAGGGGAGGGTCAGAGAGAGAGGGAGTCACAGACTGAAACAGGCTCCAGGCTCTGAGCCGGCAGTCAGCACAGAGCCCGACGCGGGGCTCGAACCCACGAACCGCGAGATCATGACCTAAGCGAAAGTCGGACGCTTAACCGACTAAGCCACCCAGGCGCCCCTGTCAAAGCAACTTTAGAAGTTCCAAACACAACCATCGCACACAAATGAGCCCAGGTCAAGGATACATTCATTTGCCAGGGAGTCGGCGGGAAGCAAAGCTGGTTCCCAGGAGGGTCGGGGCGCCGAGTGCTCCTCTGGCGACGGAGCCCCGAGGAGGGTTGGGGCGCGGAGTGCTCCCGGCCCGCGGTGACGGAGCACTAGACCAGACAGGACAGCAAGACAAGTGATGGTTGAAGGGGCGACAGTGCCAGGGCCACCTCCGTCGGACACAAATCTGCACGTGCGCGGCAACTGCCCGGGGTCCAGGCACACCGGGCATAAGCAGCAGGTGCACACATCCCTGGAGAGCGGGGCCGGGTGGCCTGCTGGACGCTGAAGGACACGCTGTCCCTCTTTTGTCTCAGGAGACCCCCTGAGAAGGGCAAAGGGCTGTGTGTCCAGGCGCAGGGCACAGCCTGAGAAAAGGCCAGGAGGCAGGAAAGGGCAGGGAGCAGAACGGTGAGCCAGCCTTCGGGGAGACCCCAGGGAACTGCTCCCCAGGGAAGGCAGGCTCGGGGGACCACCGGCTCTCAGCCCGCCGCAGGGCACGGGCAGGTCTCTGCAACCCCAGCTCCAGGTGCGTCAGAGAATCAAACACCAGGTGAGGACACAGAAACTCCCCAGGATCCCCAACGTGGGCGGGAGAGTCGCCATGGGTGGTGACAGCCGTGCCCGGGGCCGCCTGAGGTCACCGAGAGTTTGGGGAGCGTGCACCCTACTCCCTGCCCGGCAGCAGCTAGGCTGACCCCGTCCTCCAGGGCCGAAGCCCTCAGTGGCACACACGCCACTCAGAAGGAAAAAGCCAGCCTCCCTGCCCTGAGGCCCCACCCGCTGGACGCCCTCCCCCACTGTCCTCTCTCTGCTGCAGCCCCACCTGCCTTCCCGCCCTTCCCCTTCCCCTTCCGGAGACAGGCTGTGGTGCATGGTCCTGCTTCCGGCCCTTTCCCTCACTGTGCGCTGTGCTGGGAGCACTCTGTCCCCACATCATCCCACGCTGTCTCTCCAGGCCTTTGCCACCTACCTGGGGCTCCTCCCTGGCTCCGTCTGCCCGTCCAACCCCCACCTCCTCGGAGGCCCACTCAGCAGCTCACCGACACTGTGAGCACCTAGCGGACGCCGTGCCCGGGCTCTGGGTCCGGGGTCTCATGGGGACAACAGCTCAGTTCCTGGCATGAAAATAAAGTTGGCCACAGCAACCAGGCAGTGACCCCAGGGACGGGGAGCCCGCAGGTCACAGCCCCAGCAACAGCAAGAGAGGAAGAGGGACCCTCAGCTGCCAAGGAGCCACTGCCAACACACGGAGAAGCTCCTCTCCTCGGTCCAGGCGTCAGGCGGGCCCCCTCGCAGCAGGGGAGGCACGTGGAGAGCCCCAAAGACTGGGGAGGTGAGGCCAGCCTCCCCAGGCTCTGGACTCCTGGCCCAGAGCCCCCGGCGCCCCTCCAGGCTTCTCCCTGCATCTCAGCCCCTCGAGGGGGCCCAGGGCACCCAGCTACTGCCTCCCTCGCGCCGTTTACACCCTGCATCCTTCGTCCCTCCCTCCCCGATGGACCCCGCGTGTGGGTACAAGGCAGGGGCAAGGCTGACGTGCTCAAACCTGGGGTCAGCCCAGGCTCTGCAGACGGGGCACCCACACCCGGAGGGCAGCTGTGTGCTGACTAGTGGGCCTGGTGTGCAGTAGGCGCTCAGGAGTGCCCAGTGCCCCGCCCCCCCAGGCCAGGCTGCAGCTGCCTGCCCTCAGCCCGGCCGCCTCTGGGACAGCCGATGTCACCGAGGACCAGGACCGGCTGGCGGACACATCCCCGCAGCGCGCACCCCACCCCCACCCCACCCCCCACCCCGTCCCAGATCCCCGTCCCGGATCCGCCCAAAGCCCTGGTTCTCACGCTCACTTCCACATGGGAGGGAGGGGGAGACACTCACCCTGCCCCCAAAACCCCAGCACACTCTCAGGGACCCTGCAACAGAGTGGGGGAGGCGGGGAAAGGGGAGGGCAAGCGGTGAGAGCTTGGAGGGGGGGAGGGGGGAGGGGAGGGAGGACAGGAAGAAGCCAGGCGGCCGTGCTCCGCGGCTCCCCACAGCTGGCCGGCAGGGCCGTCTGACCCCCCACCCCCGGCCCCCCAGGCCTTGCTGGGGTCGGCGTCCTTCCTCGGGCCGGGCAGGCCCAGTTGGCAGCACCCGTGGGAACTGTCCCCGGGCCCAGCCAGCCATGCTCAGACCAGTCAGTGGGCATCGGGGCCGCTGCAAATGCCAGGGCAGCTGGGCACGTCCCGAGGGGCAGAGGCCCAGGCCCTGACCAGACCCGCAGGCTGAGCTGAGGGGCTCGTAGGGGAGGCGTGGAGAGTCGAGGGTCTCAGGGCCAGGACCACCCCCAGTCAGGATCCAGGCCCCCGGGCCCCACCCACCTCTCTACTTCACCCCCAACACCCTCACCTCAGCAACCCTCCCAGAGGCCACGGCCTCCCTGTACCCTCTCCCCTGCCTCCCTCCCCTGCACACCCCCTCCTGGACCCTCAGCTGCTGCGGACGGCTCTTCCTCTGCCCCTGCGTTAGAGGCCACTCCGCAAACATCACACAGGCCCCCCGGGGCTGAGGCTGACTCGTGGGCCACGGCCACGCCGGGTAAGGGGTGGCCACAGGCGGGACGCACAGATGAACACGCCGATGGACACTTGCACCCACACTCCAGCCCGCATGCCACTCAGCTCCACCCCGTCAGTCCTCCGTGCCCCACTGGGGACCCCCAGCCACCGGCTGTCCTCACAGGCCTGGGGGCCCCTCGGGACAGCCCTTCCGGTGACTTCCTGCCAGGGCGGCTGGGGGGAGGGTAAACAAGGCCTCCAGATGGCTTCCTGTGGCTGCCCGGCCGTGGGAACATCCCGGTCGCCGAGGTCATGGAAGAGCGGGGGGGCGGGGTCCGCATCCCTCATCAGCAGGGCACCCCCTGCGCGACTTAGGCTGCCTGGACCCACTGCCCCTCTTCGCTTCCCAACATCGCCGCCCCCATTTACAGAGGGGGAAACTGAGGCACAGGCAGGCGAGTTAGGCCAAAGGCCAGAAGCAGGACTTCCTCTCTGCTCACCAGATGCCCTTTCTTTATCAGGCTCCCACCCCACCACTGGGGATGGGTCGCTCAGCCCCACTTCAGGGATAGGGAAAACCGAGGCCAGAGAGGGGAGAGTGTGCTGGTGGCCGTGCTGTGAAGGGGTCCGCTCCCCCTTCCCCACACACACACGGTCCTGGCTCCAGGCCACTCGGGGAGGGCCAAGCAGGCCTGGGCACCACCCGCTTACCTTCCATCCCTGCCCACTCCCACCCACCACCCTGAGCAGCGGGCTGATGGAGCTGCCGCAGTGACAGTTAACTCAGGCCCTGAGCCCCGGGAGCCCTCCCTTCTCCTGTGGTGCCCAGGCCAGATGCCTCCTCCTCCCAGAAGGCCACCCTGACTTCCTGTCCCACCGCAACCTCAAAGTCTGAGAGTCACACTCTCTAGGGGTCTTGCTCACCCTTGGGTCTCTTCCAGCATCAGGACCACCCCTCTCTGCCTTCCCCACCCCCCAGCAGGGGCCAGCGCGGGCCTGGGTGGCCCCTTGAGAGGCCCGGGGAGGCAGAGGCAAGGCGAAGCCAGTAGCCTGCACTGCTCATCTGACTACCCAGCAGCCAAGATGGCGATCACGGGGGCAGGTACTGGTTAATCCACAGGGCCCCTCCAGACCCAGAGACGGGGTGCTTTTGGAGAGAGTTCCATGGTGGACCAAGTAGGGGAGATTCCGAGTGAGATGAGAACACCTCGCGCGGGCCGCCGGCCCCCTGACGTCAGGCATACACCCCGGGGCCCAGATCATAAACTGCCTGGGCTGTTTGAGTTTTGTAAGGACCACCACTAAACCTGGATTCAACCATAAGGACCTATGAGAGCCTTGTTTCAATGCCGCCCCTTCCCCCACATGAGCCCCTGGGGCAGGGGTGCTGCCTGTGCCCTCCCCCCCAGGCCCGCCCCAGCCCCAGAGCACCACAGGACACATAAAGAAGCCAAGTCACCGTGCGCTGCGCTTCCCAAGGTCACAGGCCCCCGGTGAGGGTAGACAGAGAGCCTGCTGTGACCTGGTGACACAGAGCAGACGCAGGGCTGGGAGCAGCGGCCTGGCCCAGGTGGCTGGAGGGTCACCACCGAGGCCGCCATCTTTGGCCTGACCTCCCTCCCAGCCTGCTGTGAGGTCCGTGGTGTGTTCCAAGCTCCCCATTCTCCAGACGAGAAAACTGAGGCCAGGAAGCACAGGGGTGGGCCAGGGTCACCCAGAGAGACCTGGCAGAGTGCGGACCATGGCTCTGGGCTCCTGCAGGGCCGTGTGGAAGGACAGTGAGGTTTCTGTGGGGAGCCCCGGGCACCCCCAGGCACCCCCCGAATCCCACGTGGCAATTCCCAGCGGACAGGCCACCGGGCGGCCGGCCAGAGGGTAGCCCGGGAGGGGCCCCCAGCTGACCCCGGCAGGGAGATGAAAGCAGAGGGAATGTTTGCTTTGGCAGGGCCCCGCCAGGCAGGGAGTGAGGAGGGGGCCGGTGGCCCCAGGCCAGCGCTGATGCGGGAGGGGCGCCAGCAGAAAGGAGCGCCCTCTGGGGGAGGGGCAAGCGAGAAGAACAGGCAGGCACGGGCGCGGTGATGGGACCGAGCGCTGGCGGGCGGGAACCCTGGCCGGGTGGCGGGAATGCTCCACACGCTCCCGCGCCTCTTCCAGGAAGCCTGAGTCACGAGAGGGGCCCCAGGCCCAGGAGAGTGGCTGGGAGCCCCGGTCCCATGGGAAGGGGACGGGGCAGGGCCGCCTGCCTGTCAGCCCGCCTCCGCCGGCCGGGCCAGCCCTGGCTTCGGGGTCTCTGTGGCCAGGGAGGCCGTGGGAACGAGCGGCGGCAGCTCCCAGGAGGGGCTGTGGGGACAGAGGACGGCAGGCCAGAGCCCCCCGTCTGCAGAGGGGGAACTGAGACCCCAGAGGAGAAGAGTTGGCCCGAAGCCATACAGCCAATGACCCGTCATCGGCTGTGCCCTGGCAGCCCGGTCTGGAGGCTGGGAGACCTGACGTCCTCGGCCGGGAGCCGGGAGCCGCCTTCCAGCACATCAGCCCCCAGCCGTGCACCCAAGACGCCCAGACTACCTGCAGGGGGAGCCATGCCCCCGGTGCTCCCACTTCTAGGACCACCCCTCAGGGAAGCCAGGCCCCCACGGGCTCTGCTCCGACCCGTCGCTGATCTGGCCCAGCCCTCACCTGCAGGTAGAGAACAGAGACTCTGGCAAGGACGCCCACCCCGAGGGTCACCCAGCAGGAGAGTGGGACCCTGGAGCCACCTTCCAGGCGCGGCCCCTCATCCCCGGAGGGGTCCTGCATGGAGGACACAGGGCCCTCCTCCTGGCTCCCGCCACCCCGACCCAGGCTGGCCCTCCAGTTCACCCACAGGAACGCCTCCCAGCCCACCAAGGGTCTGGGGTCACCAGGCTCGACGCAGGGTCACACAGAAGGGGCCTCCCCCCTTGAGCCACCACCGCCTGAAGGCCATGTGACCCGGGGAAGCGAGGAGCCTTGCTGAGCCCCAGCCTCTCACTGTAGGATGGGTGGACACTGCTTCCCGTTGTCAGGGGTGTAGACCAGGATGGAGTCAGGAACCCCACACAGCAGGCACCCAACACACCACAGCAATTGCCTTCTCTGAGCCTCAGTTTCCCCACCTGTAAGCTGGGCTATTACATCCGCCTCCCAAAGCAGCGGTGGAAGAAGACATCAGACATGTCTATGGGGATGTGGACAGAGCCACATTCTGCAAAGGAATCCGGGCTCACTCCCTCGGCCTTCGGAGTCCCCCCGGGCCCGGCTTCCTGGTCGGGGAAACAGTACATGGAAAGGCTGAGCCGTGGGCCCCCAGCAGGCCCCATCACCCTCCCACCCCCCACCTGAACACCCGGCACTGAAGGCAGAGGCTGCAAGAGCGCCCCCCCCCCCACCGTCCCAAGCCCTGTTCCCAGTACCTGGCGGAAAACCTGGGCACGTTAGGCAGCACCCACGGCCCCATCGGGTACGCCGCGTGGCAGTCCCAAGCAAGAGGAGGGTGTGAGGGGGCTCGGCAGGGATGTGGCCCACATGGCACAGCCATGCCGCCCTCTCCACCACCTGCTGGCCCCCAACCCTGCTCCGTTCCTCCCAGC